CGGGTTGGGGGCAGTTGGGGAGAGGTCAATGGGGGAAAAAGGAGACTTATGTAATACATTAAACAATAAAGAATTTAAATTTAAAAAAAAAGAAAAAGGTTACCCCAGTGCCTTATCCAATCAAACACACCAACATATTTTGCGTGCATGAGTTTGCTTTCAGAACCAAGTCAGGAATCATCTCCTGAGAAGTTACGTGGCTCAGAAGCAAGAAATGTTTCTCATCAGAATGGTGTCACGCGGGATGTAGTCTTTGGAAGGACCAACTTGAAAAAGGGATTTGAAAAACCATCTCTACTTTTCTGGCTGCAAGGAGTTGGTGTAGCTTTCCAGTTCTAGCAAGTCAGCCTCAGCTTCCACTGGAGCCCTCATTACATGGATATGTCCAAAGATCACATTCCTGAGACCCAACTGTAATTCTATGAGTAGGAGGTAGAAGCAGGCTTTTCAAAAGTCATGTGGTGACCAGCTCAGACTGATTCTAAGGAAGAGTTTTATATGCTTCCTTAAGTCAAGAGTAGTTGATAAGTTGACACATGTTTGACATGACATTATCAGGTTGATTTCAAACACATTACAATAAAGAGGTATGAAGCGCATAAAACTGTAATGATCTTGATTCCCCTTCCCTTTAGGGTCGGCATTTATAAACTTAAAGTTACGGTTTCCTCATGATCATTGCCCACATGGCCAATCATTGTGGGAGAGGTCCCATGGGAATCAGCAGAAATTTAGCGAATCCTCTTACATCAAACCACACCAGCTGAGCACTTTGAGAGCATACCTCATCATTTCATAAAAAAAAAAAAATGACGTTACTGATTTTTTACAGAGAGGAAGGGAGAGGAATAGAGAGTTAGAAACATCGATGAGCTGCCTCCTGGACACACCCTACTGGGGATGTGCCCACAACCAAGGTACATGCCCTTGACCGGAATCAAACCTGGGACCCTTCAGTCCACAGACAGACGCTCTACCTACTGAGCCAAACCGGTTAGGTCTCAAGTGGTTTTGATTGGTAACTTAGGCCTCAATATCATGCATGGGCAGGGTGGGGCCAAAGCATGTGACCTGTAAAGAAGGAAGTAGAGGGAGAGACAGAAACAGAAAGTGGGAGAAATGGACTAACAGAAAACTGGGTAAATCCATAATTAAGTAACCAAGGAATCTCCTTAGACAGCCGTGGGCAAACTACGGCCCTGCAGGCCGGATCCGGCCCGTTTGAAATGAATAAAACTAAAAAAAAAAAAAAAAGACCGTACCCTTTTATGTAATGATGTGTACTTTGAATTTATATTAGTTCACACAAACACTCCATCCGTGCTTTTGTTCCGGCCCTCCGGTCCAGTTTAAGAACCCATTGTGGCCCTCGAGTCAAAAAGTTTGCCCACCCCTGTTAGAGCTCTGCATACGCACCCATAGGCAATGGTCAATAAAACTCTGATTTTTACAAATTATTTTATGATCAAAACAGTTGAGTGCTCTGGACTTTCGGTGCTTCAAAACAAATATAGAGACTTTTCATAGTTGCCCACGTCCTTCGTAGAACTGTCCTCTCTCTATCGAGGCTTAGCTCCAAGAACTTTCTGGAAGCTTTTACTGCTCCCAGGAGTTTAACCCCTCCCCCCAAAGTCTTCACTTCTCTCAACACCTTCTTCCCTCTTTATTCTCAGGAACCAGCTGTGCTTTCAATGAGAGCTTGTGGTGGGTTCAGAGTGGTATACACACATTCTCCTTTCCATTTATATCTTCCTATCTTAGTAGTTTCAGTCGTTTTTGGTGTTTTTTTTTTACAGTGTAAGGACTAAAAAGGTACTGACAGTTGTTCCGATTAAGCACGTTTTACAGAAAGTGAGCAGAGGAAATAAAGTTAGAGTAAAATGCTCTTTATCAGCCCTGTTACGAATCATTCTAGTCGAATGTCAGTAACATCTACCAATTTTTTTTGCTCCTTTTAGTTTTATTTGAACCTCAGTTACACAAAACTGGAGTTATCCTCATCTTTATTTCAGGACACATTATTATGACTCATCTTGGAGGAGACATTTTTATTTACTTTTTTGCTTGTTTGTTGATTAACAATAATCAACAGGAGCTGTAACCTTTGAACTCAACATGAGAATTACAACATTGACAGACTTATATCCACCTCTGTGCTCCTCTCTCACCTGTTATAAGTATTGCCCCGAATCCTGTGTTTCTCATTTATAAGTAAAGTTTTTAAATACTTATATACACGTTATTAATATATATATAATTTTAAAATTATGTATATGCATATATTGTGGATTAGTTTTAGTTGTCTTTATAAGAGAATCATGCAGTATGAAATTATTAAGAATACATTTTTAAATATATATGAAGGCCCTGGCCCTGGTAGCTCAGTTGGTTGGAGTATTGTCCTGTATGTACACCAGAGGGTCGCGGGTTCGATTCCTGGTCAGGGTACATACCTCGGTTTCGAGTTCAATCCCCAATGAGGATACATAAGGGAGGCAAATGATCAATATTTCTCTCTCACATGGATGTTTTTCTCCCTTCCTCTCTCTCTAAAAGTCAATAAAAAACAAACATATCCTTGGGTAGGAACAATACATATGAAAATTATTAAGGAAATTCGAGGCTTATGGTGATGCCATTTGTAGGGAGTATTTCAGGACACAGTTTGCCTCTAGGAGATGGCTCTGTTTAACAGCAAGCCCAGATGAATGTAATCCAGTCAAGACTAAAGAGGATTTTCCTAGATACGCTTTAGTCCCTTTGATCATTGATTTCTTTCCAGTCTACCCTTCTCCTAAGATGTATCTATTTAGAGTCCTGACCCAAAGCCTGGAGGTTTAGTAAATCCTCCTAAGCAGGAAGTCAGGTGGGTGTTCTGAAGCCCAAATGCTGTCCCTATAGCTTCATGAGTCCGATAAAATTCTGCTGAAATTCTCAGGCTGCTCTGCAAACAGTAGACACCCCTAGGCATGGCTCCCAATGCCGGGTTCATCTCTCTGTGTTTTCTTTTCCTGTTGGCAGAAGAGTTAGTTCAAATGATCGATTTCACCATTGCTCCAAATGGCTGTTTGCGGAGGACCAATTGGCAAAGGGCCAGGTGAATGCTGATAGAATAGACAGAAAACTTGGCATCAGTCAAGCGTAATGGTAGTGATGATAGAAGCAGGATGATGAATGTGGAAAGAGATGGGTGGATGGAGAAACATTACGGGGCAGGATTGGCAGAACTTGGGATGGATTCAACATGGAGAATGAGGGGGAGAGAGGTGCAAGGGATGACTCTTAAGTTTCTGGCTTGAGCAACGAGATGGATGGGATACCACTCACTGACATAAGGAATATCGCAGAGAACTGACAAGATGGGGCCAAGGATCACACGTTTCGGTTTGAATCTGTTGATTCTGAGATGCGTTGAGACATGCAAGAAGCTACGTTAATTAGACATTCGTATGTGTGAGCTCAAAAAAAAAAAAAAAAGAGATCAAGAAGAGAGGCTGGTGAACAGCAGGATGGAATGCTGCTGAGAATGCAGGTGGGATCATTGAGTATGGATGATCTTGCCAAACTTCAGTTGCTAGTGATGCGGCAAGTAGGTAAATCCCTGCAACCTACACAAAGCTAGTAGGAGGGCAATACTATACGGGTTGGTGAAGGCAACAGACAAAAAACTCTTCATAATCTCAGAGTAGGGAAAGACTTCTTTGAAAGATACCAAATGCATGAACAATAATGTAAAATATTGATAAATCTGATTACACTGAACTAAAGAACTGCCATCCTTATAAGTTACTCTAGAGTTTAAAAAGAAAGCCAGCCTGACCGGTGTGGCTCGGTGGATAGAGCGTCGGCCTGCGGACTGAAAGGTCCCAGGTTCGATTCCGGTCAAGGGCATGTACCTTGGTTGCGGGCACATCCCCAATGGGAGGTGTGCAGGGGCAGCTGATCGATGTTTCTTTCTCATCGATATTTCTAACTCTCTATCTCTCTCCCTTCCTCTCTGTAAAAAATCAATAAAATATATTAATTTTTAAAAAAAAAGAAAGAAAGAAAGCCACAGTGGATAGATCGTCAGCCTGCAGACTGGAGGGTCCCAGGTTTGATTCAAGTCAAGGGCACATGCCCAGGTTCTGGGCTCGATCTCCAGTGGAGGACATACAGGAGGTAGCTGATCAATGATTCCCTCTCATCATTGATGTTTCTATCTGTCTCTCCCTCTCTCTTCCTCTCTCTGAAATCCATAAAGACATATTAAAAATAAATAAATCAAAAGCAAGCCACAGAAGAAGATATTGGCAGCATTTAAAAATGACAAAGAGCCCTAGCTGGTTTGGCTCAGTGGATAGAGCGTCAGCCTTCGGACTGAAGGGTCCCAGGTTCGATTCCGGTGAAGGGCACATGCCTGGGTTGCAGGCTCGATCCCCAGTGTGGGGTGTGCAGGAGGCAGCCGATCCATGATTCTCTCTCATCATTGATCTTTCTCTCTCCCTCTCCCTTTCCCTCTGAAATCAATAAAAATATATTTTAAAAATAAATAATAAAAATGACAAAGACTCTGTACTCAAATCTACAAACAACTCAAAGGATCAATAGAAGGAAAATAAAAAGACCTACAACCCAATAGAAAATAGGCAAGAGACTTTGCAGGCACTTGACGAACGAGGAGCTGCAAGCAGTCAATCAATATGGGAGAAAGCCTTCCCCCTCTAGTTAATCAGTCATGCAGAGACTAAAACACCCTCCTCCCCTCTGACCCTCCAATGGGAATGTTTGAAAGTTTGAGAACATCAAGCGCCAGCAAAAACGAACTCTCAGAAGCTGCTGGTTGGAAAACAGATTAGTACAAAATGGGAAACCACGTGGCATAATAAAGGTGAAGACACATAAACCTTTGGACAGAGATTGCACTTTCGAGTATAAAACTCTAGGGCAGTGGTTCTCAACCTTCCTAATGCCGAGACCCTTTAATACAGTTCCTCATGTTGTGGTGACCCCCAATTTCATTGTTGCAGATTTAACATAATTAAAGCATAGTGATTAATCACAAAAACAATATGTAATTATAGATGTGTTTTCCGAGGGTCTTAGGCGACCCCTGTGAAAGGGTCGTTCGACCCCCAAAGGGGTCACGACCCACAGGTTGAGAACCGCTGCTCTAGAGGAAAAGAATGCACGCACATACGGACTAGGAGAATGTCCTTCGTAGCATCTATATATATAAAGAGGTAATATGCAAATTTGTCCAGGATGCCTTTACAGTCACGACCGGCTCCAAACCTTAATAGTCATGACCAGCACGGCTCAGAGCACGCCCCCACCCCAGTGGACACACACAGGGGTGGGGACCTGCTCCCAGCGGCCGAAGCGCAGCTCGGAGCATGCCCCCCGGTGGGTGGCGGTGGTGGCCGAAGCACAGCAGCCTGGGTCCTGGGTGCCGGAGGGAAGCCGGTGCCGGCAGCCAGGGGAAGGAAGGACTATTCTTGCACGAATCTTCATGCATCGGGCCTCTAGTTGTTAATAATAGTCCCCAACCAGGAAACGCTCGAATGCCCTTCAACAGTAGAACAGCTAAGTCATCTGTGAGATGTCATGCAAGGATGACTCACAAAGTCATAACAAAAAAAAAACGTGCCCATGCAATGGATGAATCTCATAAGCATATTGTTGTGTTGAAGCAAGATGCAAAAAAAAAAAAAAATAAATAAACATGTGATTCTAATTATGTGATTTGAAAGCAAGCAAAATCAACCCAAATTGCCTAGAGCCGTGGTCGGCAAACTGCGGCTCACGAGCCACATGCAGCTCTTTGGCCCCTTGAGTGTGGCTCTTCCACAAAATACCAACTTCTGCGCATGGGCCATGAAGTTTCAATCGCACTGTACATGCGTGCCCGCATGTGGAATTTTGTGGAAGAGCCACACTCAAGGGGCCAAAGAGTTCATTTGCTCGAGAACCGCAATTTTCCGCACCACTGGCCTAGCCGACCACTGGCCTAGAGATACATACCTGAGCGGTAAAACTCTAAAGAAGCAAGGACGGGTTATCACAAAAATCAGCATAATGTTTACCTGTTGGTGAAAGGCTGGGGCTCATAACTGAGGGGGAGGTGGGGGCAGCTTTAGGAGAGCAGCAATGTTCTACTTTTTAAAATATATATATTTTTTTTATTTCAGAGAGGAAGGGAGAAGGAGAGAGAGAGAAACATCACTGATGAGAGAGAATCATTGAGCGGCTGCCTCCTGCACACCCCACACTGGGGATCGAGCCTGCAGCCCGGGCATGTACCCTGAGCAGGAGTGAAAGGTCAACACTCAACCACTGAGCCACGCCAGCCAGGTGGCAATGTTCCACTTTTTTTTTTTTTTTACCAGAATGATGGTTATGTGTGTGTTTGCTTTTGAATTATTCTGTAAACTGTATACATGATCTTTGTATAAAAGTTATACCTCACTCTAAAAAGAAAAAAGAAACCTGTCTCTAAAATTATAACATTTAATCTTGAATTATGCCATTATTGTTGCAAATGGTGCATTCTAGTAGTGACTAAATAAACTGGTGTGATAACCAAGCCACACACGACAGTAAAAATTCTTTATACTGGTGGAATCAGATAAAAATGTGAAAAGAAACTTGCTTTGATTCCTAGGTTGGATCGTTAAATGCATGCTTCCTTGCAAAGAGGAATTTCCAAGTTGATGTGTACGAAGCTAGGGAAGGTAAGACAATTCCGAAAACTGAGATGTGGTTCTCATTCTGTGATCTCTTTCAATTTTAAAAGATATATATACATATTTTAAATATATTTTTATTGATTTTAGAGAGGAAGGGAGAGGGAGAGGGAAACATCAATGATGAGAGAGAATCATTGATCGGCTGCCTCCGGCACGCCCCACACTGGGGATGGAGCCCACAACCCGGGCATGTGCCCTCATTGGGAATCGAACTGTGTCCTCCAGATTCATGGGTTGATGCTCAACCACTGAGCCACTCCGGCTGGGCAGATTTAAAACAATTTTTTTAAAGGGGAACTGTTAGAATTTTTTAAATGTCAACTATCTAAATTCAATTCATACAAATTTACTATTATTAGCATTTTCTCTATAAGAGTTAACAAGGTCTTTTAATTTGGTACTGGTCACACCAGTCGCTCAGGTGTTACATGCCCATCTTGTCCAAGGATATAAGGAGTAGTGTGTGCCCTAGCCGGTGTGGCTCAGTGGATAGAGCGTTTGTTTATATTATCAATAAAAATACGTAAGTATTTAAAAGAAAAAAAAAGGAGACATGTGTAACGTGGACTCTACTTGCAACGTCTTAGATATCCGAGTGGCTCAACTGGCACGTGGAAGAAGCATTAACTTGGCCCTTTCTCACAGAGGACGACAAGCCTTGAAAGCCATTGGCCTGGAAGACCAGGTACCTCGTTCATGCATTTTCCTTAGAGAAGGTAACACTTGCTGTTTTGCAGCAATTGCATGGTTTCAGTTCATCCTGGTTCAGGGCGCTATGGAATGCCAAGAACCTCTGCGCGCAGACTCAACCTACAAAGCCTTTCAAGCTTCTGAGTTTGGCAAGAGGGTGAACATGTGATGCTTGAGGCACCTGGGATCCAGGGCAGGACCCACGACCTGGGGCAGAGGAAGGCTGCAACCCCCTCTGGGCTCTCAACAGGATGGGAAAGTTCTGCCCCCGGAAAGTGGGATCTGAGGTGGCATTAGGATGAGAGGAGCAGGCCAACTCCATTCTTTTCTTTAAAAATATATTTGTTTTTTTAAAGATATATTTTTATTGATTTCAGAGAGGAAGGGAGAAGGAGAGAGAGATAGAAACATCCATGATGAGAGAGAACCATGGATTGCCTGCCTCCTGCACGCCCCCTACTGGGGATTGAGCCCGCAACCCAGGTATGGGCCCTGATCGGGAATGGAACCATGACCTCCTGGTTCATAAGTCAACGCTCAACCACTGAGCCACGCCGGCGGGCCCACTCTTTTGACTATACAGGTCCATGATCTCTTACCCACAATTCTCTACTCCAGAAAACTCTGAAAATAGAAAGCTTTTCATCAGCCACTCAGCAGAAAATGTGACCTGATGGGAGGCTTTTTATGGCCTTATTTTTCTCTCGCTTAGTGTGACTGTTTTACTACAGAGATATTTTGTTTGATTATAGGTGGTGCTCCAGACGCTGCTGGGAGCTATGGGATAGCCACATAGGCACTCAACTATTCTCAAAAATTCGAACGTTTCTGAATTCTGAAACCAATGGGCCTTGTGGTTTTGGATAAGGATCGAGGGCCTGTAGTAGATTCTCCTTCCATGGCCTCAATGTCGCTTCACTGTCTGCCGTGCAGCTTGAAAATGTGGACAGAAATGATACGTTTTTCTTGATAGGACTTTTGTTGACAATGGGCATCAAAATGATAACATGAGTCAATATGAGTTCCAGCTCCATTTCTACACTCTTCTGAGGTCTGAGTGTAGGCAAACACTGCGCTGGGTTTCAGGAGGCCTGGGTTTTTGAGGCCCCATGGATGGCTCTCTTTTGAGACCGTGAGAAAAATCATTTCCCCTCTCTGACAGTAAAACACTCCCCTCAAGTGTAATATTTGATTTGGACCCAATGCACTTTAAGTCAATTCCAACATCTAACGGTTCAAAAAAGAAAAAGCAAAAACTAAAATTTGCAGGAACACCGTTTTAATTTAGTTTCCCCCATACTGTGCTTCCATGGTCCTTGACATTATTTTTTAAATGTTTTTGAAAATATTTACAAATCACACTTTAAAACTGATATCGATCTTATTTGCATAATGCCATGTTACAGAAATTGAGATGGGTATTTCTGGTTTTATTTCAGATTGTATCTCAAGGAATTCCCATGAGAGCAAGAATGATTCACTCTTTTTCAGGAAAAAAGTCTGCAATTCCCTATGGGACAAAGTCACAGGTAGGTTGACGCTAGAGATATTTGTTGATTATAGCTGAGTCTAATGTTGATGACCTATGAACCAGGAGATCATGGTTCGATTCCCAGTCGGGGCACATGCCGAGGTTGTGGGCTCCATTCCCAGTGTGGGGTGTGCCAATCAAGGATTCTCTCTCCTCACTGATATTCCTATCTCTCTCTCCCTCTCCCTTTCTCTCTGAAATCAATAAAAATTTATTTAAAATAATAAATACAATTGAGACATTTCATGTACCCCTAAAAGTATGGTGGGCCCGATGCATACTGTGCCTGTCATACCTCACAGAACAGTCGGTCCCACTGAATTGTCCTACAAAGTCACAAATACCCAACATGTGCCCCAGGCAGGTGATCCACTCCTACCAACTCCCTTCTGGCCACAGTCACCCCCTCACCCCCGCCCCCCCCCCACACATTTCACATTGAAATGAAGGCCTTCAGAGTAACCTCTTTGGGAAATAGTACATTTATTCTTGTGGTGTTGTCTTTGTAAGCTTTTCTAAATAGCTCAATTTGGAGACCTCAGATAAACGCATGAAATTTACGATTTGTTGTTAAAGCTATCTTAGTGAAAATAATATTTTCCTACAAGAGATGGGTTTGGTTTTTATAGCATCAAACTTTGCAAAAGCCTAAATTTAAACGTAAGCGTCGTATTATATATATTTGGTTAAAGTGCTTATTGTTTTCTTAAAAAAGGCTACTTAGCTACATGGTCTTAAAATGGAGCTTGCAACTTTCCGCTAAATAATCAGTTTGTCCTATTTCTGAGTGAGTAACATAGAATTACATGTGCCCATTCTCCAGAGACAAACAGCATCTACTCTATTTTTCTTGCAGTATATTCTTTCTATAAGCAGAACAAATCTAAACAAGGATCTGTTAACTGGTAAGTCCAAAGCTTTATTTTCCAGTTGTCATTTTGAATATAGCACATGAGACTAATCTTGTCACATGGTTTATTGGGACTTGTTTACCATTTATTTTTGTGAGTTATTAACAGCAGGACGATGTGCAATCCCAGGCCCTTCTTGAAACGTAGTAGTGAAACATCTCTTTCACCTTTTCAATCATCTTAAATACAGATTATTTTTTCAACGCGTATTGAATTCCTATTGTCTATGGGCACTGGAATGAATGAGTGTGATCCCCAATGAATAATGCACAGTCTAGTGGAACAACAGATATGCTGGGATGATTTGCAAAGTGACACAATTAGATCTGCATTTCAGAAAAACAGAAAGCAGTAGTGTGGCCCTTGCTGGTTTGGCTCAGTGGACAGAGCGTTGGCCTGTGGACTGAAGGGTCTCAGGTTCGATTCCAGTCAAGGGCATGTACTTTGGTTGCAGGCACATCCCCAGTAGGGGGTGTGCAGGAGGCAGCTGATCGATGTTTCTCTCTCATCGATGTTTCTAACTCTCTCTCTCCCTTCCTCTCTGTAAAAAATCAAATATATATATATATATATATATATATATATATATATATATCTTTTAAAGCAGCAGTGTGGAGGCTAATAGAGAGGACAAGCTTCAGAGATTTGGGATGATGCTTGTGTGCAAAAATGAGGCCCTGGACTAAAAGCTACAGCAACAGGGTTGGAGGGCAGGGAGCAGATTCAAGGTATTTGTGGGAGACCCAAAGATAGAGGGCGTGGGAGGTTGAGAAAGAGGAAGGAGTAAAATGTAACCCTGAGGTTTCTAATCTGAGTAACTAGGAAGGCCCACACATTAATGGGAAAAAGCCTGGGTTGGTCACTGAATCTGCAGCTTGGCTAACCAATCCAACCACATCCCTTGACCACAGTAGTTTTCTGTCCTCCTGCATTTGTGCGAAGCAGACCCACTCCCTGCTCAGCATGCCCCTGCAGTTCGCCTCCTGTCTGCTAAGTCCGTCCGTCTACCTGGATGCAGACCAGCAGTCTCTGTTCTTTGGAGAGCAGCGGTTGCCTGTGATTTATCTGAGTTTCTCCCACAGTTCCCTACCCAAAGCCATTTGCAATGTGCCTTTTGAATGGAATTGAATTAAACCGGGAGGAGGAGTGATGGAGAAAGTCCTTCTAGTTAATTCACCAGGGACTTAACAAATAAGGCTTAGAAAAATGAGAAACAAACAAACAAACAAATAGAGCTTAGCATTCTTTTGTTTTTTTAATCTCAGAAAGGAAGAGGGAGAGAGAGATAGAAACATCAATGATGAGAGAGAATCATGGATCAGCTGCCTCCTGTATGCCCCCTACTGGGGATTGAGCCCACAACCCGGGCATGTGCCCTGACCGGGAATCGAACCGTGACCTCCTGGTTCATAGGTCAACGCTCAACCACTGAGCCACGCCGGCTGGACTAGGGCTTAGTATTCTTAATTCAATTTCTTTACATACATTTGCAAGATTGTCTTTTGGATGGGCAGAAGGGCAGAGTGGGGCTAGGTGGCTAGACAGATTCATGTTGATCTTAAGAAGGTGTAATTTTCAACATGAGCTTTTGAAAATGTAGTATTGGCAACCTAAGACCATCTCTTTCTAGTACCCTCTAAATTTATTAAGGTGAAAATCATAGCAACCATGCATCGAGGCACCAGGCACTATAGTAAGTGCTTTATATGCCGCAATTTGTATAACCCTCCCCACAACCGGGTGAGGTGGGAATTACCTTCATCTCAGCTGTACAGATGGGGCAGGAGGCTTTGAGGGCCCCACAGGGCAACAGGTAACACTGTTAATAAGTGGCAGAATGTGGATTTGAACTGGAGTCTGTTTATTCCAAAGTTCATGCTTTTAACTGCAACTGTGCCGCCTCCCATGTTATATATGAAACATCTGCTAACACCAAGACGCTAACACAGGCAGGAAAGACCCAGCCTCGGTGCCCAGGTCAGAAGCTCCCCTCACTGCTTGCCACTGACATGTGCTGCGCAGCATGCAAGCTCATAAATGCTATGAACACGTCCCAGCTAGTGTGGCTCAGTGGATAGAGCGTCGGCCTGCGGACTGAAGGGTCCCGGGTTCGATTCCGGTCAAGGGCACATGCCCGGGTTGCGGGCTCGATCCCCAGTAGGGGGCGTGCAGGAGGCAGCCGATCTATGATTCTCTCTCATCATGGATGTTTCTCTCTCTCTCCCTTCCTCTCTGAGATGAATGAAAAACAAAATATAAATAAATAAATGCATGCTATAAATCCATTAGGAAAATGAATGCGGGGCCTTTTGGCTAATACACTTTGGGATGTAACGTGCTTTGTTCCTTTACACAAGTCTACCGTCTGAGCCGCCCATTCTCCATGGACAGTTCATTGTAAACGCTCATCTCCTCCTGACTGAGCGGCCTTCCCTGAGACATTCTAACTAACGCATTTTCCGGCACCAGCGTTTCGTGAGCGAGCCTGTCATGATTCACTCATCTGTGGGGCGTTAGTCATGGCTAAGCCAGACCAACAGGAAAAGGACCCAGGGCCAAGGGAGTTTGCTGAGTCCTGCCTCGAGCAAGTTTTAAGTCTTCCTGGTAATCTTCCAGTACTTCTCGGGGCCTTTACTCTACGAGTCTACACTGCAGATCCTCTAGGGCAGTGCTGTCCCAGATGTCGCTGCAAATGCCAGTCACATGTGTCATTGTAAATTTTGTGTTAACCCTATTAAAAACCTAAAAAGAAACAGGTGACTTGAACAATGTTCTCTCTCATCATTGATGTTTCTATCTCTCCCTTCTCTCCCTTCCTTTCTGAAGCCAATAACATATACTAGGTGGACCGGTTAATAATGCAGATTTTGTAATCAAAGAAAACACAATACTAGTAAAAGTTAGCCTTAGTGACTCAGGTAAATGCTGATTTCTCCAAATTTATTTGCCAAGGGATTTCTTATATGTAAATAAGTCTTTGGTTGAAGGTCGCTCAGACTTCAGTATTCTAAAACTTCCAATCCCACGTTCAAGAATCTTTAAGTCTTCACACGCCAAATCAAACTCAAAAATGGAACAAAAGGGCCCGGCCGGTGTGGCTCAGTGGTTGAGCATCGACCTGTGAACCAGGAGGTCACAGTTCCATTCCAGGTCAGGGCACGTGCCCGGTTGTGGGCTCGATCCCCAGTGTGAGGCGTGCAGGAGGCAGCTAATCCATGATTCTCTCTCATCATTGATGTTTCTCTCTCTCTCTCTCCCTTTCCCTTCCTCTCTGAAATCAATAAAAATACAATTTAAAAATGGGACAAAAGAATCCAAAATTTGAGACAAAAAGGAAGTAAGTAGAGACGGGAATACCGAGTTGGAAGTCAGAAGCTCTGGCATCCGTTTCCTGGCCTTTTGCTTCCTGTGGTCTCAGGCATCTTCCTTTTCCTGCCAGCATCATCCTTACTCCATTTATAAGGCGAATGGTTGTGAACTAATCCCCACATCCTGATTGGTGGCTTAAAACCAACAAATAGCCTGTAATGACAGCTTCCCTATCCTTGAGAACTCATACGGATAAAAAACATATTTTTACGACTATGACAAGAACATAATTAATAGTTCAGAAAATGAAAATGGCTAAATTCCAGAGATGACTAGCAGGAGAAAAAAAAAAAACACAGCAACAAAATAATCTGACTCTATTTATGAGACATTTCAAATATTTTAATTCTTTTCCCCCCAAGGGTTTCAGTGTGTGATTATAAAAAGCATTAGTATCAACAATCAACACTTGTTACAACTTGAATTAGAAGTCTAGAGGGCTTACAGCAGGCATCGTATGAGAAAGAATTTGGCTGAGTATTTTCAATCACAAAGAAAGCCTTGGCAACTTTTAAAATATGTAATGATTATTTCCTTTCCAGGCTGCTGATAATCTTAGCAATGTGAGAATTTGCATAATGGAGTTAGTTGGATCTTTTCTTTTCTTTTTGAGATGAGAGTGGTTGATTTTTATTCATGTCTTTTACTATAAATTACCCTGGAACTTTTACCCAATAAAATGCCACTTCAATCATGTTGCCAGGGATAGGAATAAATCACTCTATCATGCGGTGGTCAGGATGATCCCTATTTCACTTGGATGAAGTGAGTCAGATTGAGAACTTGACTCGTGTCTGCTTTCTCCCCTGTCCCCCCAGCGGTGGAGAAATACCCCAACACCAAGGTGTACTTTGGCCACCGGCTGTTAACATGCAACCTGGAGGAAGGAACCATCACCGTCCTTGGGTAATGGCCCGCCCCTGTCGGCTTCCGAGGGAGCAGTGAGGGGTCCGAGCGACCTGTATCTGTAAACTTTGCTCTTTGGCTCTTTGGAAAGAGTTAAATGACGACTAAAAGGGTGATTCAACGAGGCTCTAGAGTCCACCACACTGTGCTTCCACTTCTCTCCTCCCGGGAAACAGACGACTCTACACGACCCTGCATCTCACCCCTTTCTGGATGCTGCTAGTCTGCTTGTCCTTAGTTCTATTTCCTCTAAAGCTCCATTTCCTCTAAAGCTCCATTTCCTCTAAAGTTCCATTTCCTCTACAGTTCTATTTCCTCTAAAGCTCCATTTCCTCTAAAGTTCCATTTCCTCTAAAGTTCCATTTCCTCTAAAGTTCTATTTCCTCTAAAGCTCCATTTCCTCTAAAGTTCCATTTCCTCTAAAGTTCCATTTCCTCTAAAGTTCTATTTCCTCTAAAGCTCCATTTCCTCTAAAGTTCTATTTCCTCTAAAGCTCCATTTCCCCTAAAGGTCCATTTCCTCTAAAGGTCCAAGCCTCGGGCCCCACTCTTGCGATGTGTCATGGATTTCCAGTTCATTCGACAACCACTTGTCAACTCACACATCGCTAGCCCAGGCCTGCACCTTCATCCTCGGTCCTTCATTCAGTCAGTGTTAATTTCTCATGAGACACCTTCAGAGGACACCCTAGCCAGTGTGGCTCAGTGGATAGAGCGTCGGCGTGCGGACCGAAGGGTCCCGGGTTCGATTCTGGTCAAGGGCACGTACCTCGGTTGCAGGCTCCTCCCCAGCCTGGGCCCTGGTCAAGGCGTGTGCAGGAGGCAATCAATCCATGTCTTTCTTTCACATCCATGTTTTGCTCTGTCTTTACCTCTCTCTAAAAATCAATGGGAAAATATCCTTGGGTGAGGATTCAAAAACCAAAACCAAATCCAAAACCATCTTGCCATGACCTCTAACACATCCAAAACCTTGATCATCTGCTTTTCTCCAAGTGTGTCCCATTCCTGACATCCCTAGTACTATTACCCAGATAATTACAATTATTGTCATGTGTCCCTTTCCCTATTTTCTTTTTAAAAAATAAATATATTTTTATTGATCTCAGAGAGGAAGGGAGAGTGAGAAGGAGATAGAAACATCAATGATGAGAGAGAATCGCTGATCAGCTGCCTCCTGCACGCCCCACACTGGGGATCGAGCCCGCAACCTGGGCAAGTGCCCTGACTGGGAATTGAATGATGATCTCCTGGTTCATAGGTTGACGCTCAGCCACTGAGCCACACCGGCCAGGCCCCTTTCCCCATTTTTTTCTAACTTTTCTACTGGCCTCAGAGTCTACGCCTTCTTCCTGAACACCACAGTCCTTGGCTGTCACACCTGCACAGGCAGCTGCTAAAAAGAGGAACAACTGTAATAATCTGAACAATAAAGATTTAATTTAAAAATAAATAAATAAATAAATAAATAAATAAAAAGAAATCTTTTGTCTAAACATTTGAAACTAGAGGCCCAGTGCACAAAATCTGTGCACTGGTAGGGTCCCTAGTGGCTGCCAGCTGCTGGTCTGGTACTCCCTTCCCCTGGCCGGCCCCGCTCCCTGGTCAAACTCCTGGATGACCTCCCGGTCGAGGGGACAATTTGCATACTTCGCTTTTATTATATAGGAGTCTCTCCTCCCTTTTCCCCCCTCCCCGAACTGTATTCTTTTCTTAGGCTATTTTTTTCCTGCTACCCTTTTGTCAAGCCAAATGTATTGCTCCCGCAAAGCCCTGCTCGCACCCCTGCGGTGGCTCATACATCCCCTCCACTTGGAATGCTTTGCCTTCTTTTTGAGATCCTCTCCCTTCATGCAGGGAACTCAACTCTCAGGCCCACTTCCACAGCCTCGCGTGCCTTTCTTCCTCGGTACGGCTGTGTGTTATTCCTGTTCTCAGAGGAAAACCTGTCCTCAGGATACGTGTTATCGTCTTCATTGCATAGCTATCAACTCAGAGTGGGAGGTCAGGGGTGCAAAAGGGAGGAGTAGGCCCACTCACTAGCTGCCTTTTTTGTTTGTTTGTTTGTTTTCAGATGGTTCATTTTATTTTTCAGATCTGACCAAGTTCCCAAAGATGTCACCTATGACCTCATTGTAGGCTGTGATGGAGCCTATTCAACGGTCAGAGGTCACCTCATGAAGAAACCCCGCTTCGATTACAGTCAGCAGTACATTCCTCATGGGTACATGGAACTGACCATCCCACCTAGGAATGGGGATGTAAGTCCTTCCCTTTCTCACCCCCCTTCATCCTCCCCCCAGCCCCACACTCCACCTCAGGTCGGCATAGAGGTTGTGCTCAGTTGCATGTCTTGGTCAGTTTTGAGGTTTGACACAAGTATTTTGTCACTAAAAATAAATTGGGGTATAGATATCTCTTTAATACTATCCCTGTCTCTCCCTTCCCTCTATTTAAAAATATCTTTTTTATTTTTTTAAAATATATCATTTTATTGATTTCAGAGAGGAAGGGAGAGGGAGAGAGAGATAGAAACATCAATGGTGAGAGAGGATCATTGATTGGCTGCCTCCTGCATGCCCCACACTGGGGATCATGATCACCTATGCCCCAACCAGGAATCGAACCGTGACCTCCTGGTTCATAGGTTGATACCGCTGTGCCAAATAGGCTAGGGCTCTTTGCCCATTTTTCAATTGGAGTGTTTGGTGTTAAGTTTTAAAGCTCCTTAGCAATATTGGATATTTACCCCTTGTCAGATGTGTCACTGTGAATGTTCTCCAAAGAGTTTTCTTATTCCCATGTTGAACCATATGTGTCCAGAGGCAAATATGTGATATGTACATTTATATTGTCATAAGCAAGTAAATGTAGGAACTTATTATGAAAACTAAAATACCCACAAAAGGAAGAAGGATCTTGGCTTATACGTAAGGACAATAAACAGCATAGTTAAATACTTGATTTGCATACAAAACATCCATTTTTCAAGGTACTGATTTAATCTGTCTGAAATGCAGATATCTGCAATATAACTGGTCAATTTGGGATAGTGGTAGCATATACCAGTTATATACCAAAATGTATCATCAGTCAGGTCCATATTTTAAGATTTTGTCTTTCTATTTCTTCTTCCTGGTCAAAAAATGTGTTTACTAATTCTTTTTTTTAAAATATATTTTTTATTAATTTCAGAGAGGAAGGGAGAGGGAGAGAGAGAGAAACATCAATGATGAGAGAGAATCATGGATTGGCTGCCTCCTGCACGCCCCCTACTGGGGATCAAGCCTGCATCCTGGGCATGTGCCCTTGACCGGAATTGAACCCGGGACCCTTCAGTCTGCGGGCCGACGATCTAGCCACTGAGCCACACCAGCCAGGGCCAGGAATCCCTTGTTTTAACTTCTCCCGCCCCGCAAATTTCTTACCTGCCCAACTTTTACTTCCTATACTTCTAATTTACCTCCAAATCACCTATTGTCTCTCTACCACTTGAACTGCCGTTAAAGGGAAGTTATTTGGCTTTCTGTATAGGTATATGTTGCCTATTCAACTGCACCGTAAGATCTTTGAGATCAAAGAGTTATGCGTTGATTCACTGCTATGTCTATGTACTGGGCTCCCTTTGGGGCTCTGGGGATTAAAAAGCCAGGAAGGAATATTCTCTTCTCCTAACACAAAGTATGCAAATGTTACCTAGGAGACAGTTCTGTGCTTCTGTGTTCTTCTTAGCATGTACAATATACACACAGTAAGTGCTTTCTACACAATTGTAAAAAGCAATGGGAACTCGAAATAGTTGGAAAATGGATTGGCTATGCTTGTATATATAAAATATCCCTGGGAACAATAAGGGTTTGTATTAGTTCTTGGATCCATTGATCTACCCAATAATCAATACTTACTATTTTACTGTAAAGGCCAGACCTCTCTACTATTTATGTTGTAGGAAACAAGTGATAAGAGGCTAGTTTGTAAAATTTGGCTTTGCCCATGAAATTTAAATTAGGACCCTTCCATTCATACCAATAAGTCCCCAAATAAGGTGAAAAATAAAATCTAAAAATATTGTATACACATATACAGGGTGACCCCCCCCCAAATGTATATACACTTTAACAGCTGATAGTTCAATTTTGAAAGTGAAATGTATTTTAATAAACACTGCCTTTAAAATCATTCAAAGTATGAGCAAACATTTTTGGGATACCTTATATATATGTGTGTATCCATACATATATAGCTTATATGTGTCAATATGTATATTTATGTATAATGCTTATGTGTGTGTGTATGGAAATAAAGAGAAGAGAGAGAGAACATCTTATAGCCTGTTTTCAAATCTTCAATTATACCTAACACCACCATACTGGGTATTGATTTTAAACTTTTTGAAGTCAAGTGATCAAGTACATTTTTAATAAAAGGCAATGGAGATATATATATAACCTAATGTTGAGTTTATGAAAACAGAGCACAAAGTATTGTCTAAGACTATTTCTACTTTGTAGTAATAGATATCATGAATATGACACTGATTTAAGTTCCTGTGGGAAAATTATAAAATACTGGTAAGCATAGTCCGTTTTATAGGTGCATTGCATTAACACACTAATCAGGTATATACACATTGCTCTGCAGTTTGCCATGGAACCGAATTATCTGCACATCTGGCCTCGAAACACCTTCATGATGATTGCCCTTCCTAACAAGGTAGTATGGCATCTCTCAGCTCCTGTAATTTTGCGTCTACAATCAATGTTGTTCTTTATGCACTTTTGCACTGAGTATGTGTATACCTAATTAACCTCAGCATCGTGTAGGCTATAGAGTGATCACATCTTTGAAACTCTGGGCTAACGGAGGGAAAACTGAAGCCATTCCGATTATTTACATTGGAAAGGAGTCAGCATCCATGAATGACTGATGGGGGTTCGGTGTTGTGGAGCCTGTCATCTTTCCCAAGACAGTGAAGGAAGAAGTGGCCCCCAAAAAGCCAAAGAGACTTAGGTTGTGTATTAGGAAGTACTTTGTTTTTAAGATTTATAAAACACTAGAGGCCCGGTGCACGGATCCATGCACCAGTGGGGTCCCTCGGCCTGGCCTGCACCCTCTCACAATCTGGGACCCCTCAGGGGATGTCGGACTGCTGATTTTGGCCCGATCCCTGCAGGCCAGGCCAAGGGACCCCACCGGTGCATGAATCCGTGCACCGGGCCTCTAGTATGCATGTAAGATCTTTGGTTAATCTCTTCCCTCCCTCCCTCCTCCCCGCTTCCCTCTGAGATTCATCAGTCTGTTCCATGTTTCCATGCCTGTGCATTGAGTGTCTGCCCCGATGGTCAGTGTGCATCATAGCCACCGACTGAAGGGTAAAACGGTGAAACAGTCACTTAGGCTTTTATATATATAAATTGGAATATACATTATCAAAAAAGAGTAGGGCTGTTCTTTCATTAGACTCTCCACGTTTTTATATAGAAAATGTATAGTATTGTTGTTATTTCATTGTTGTTGCTGTTATTGTTATTATGCAATGTAGATCGATAGCGTTATCTGTTGGTCTTTTTCTGTTATCTTTTTTTCTCTTGGTATCAATCTTGGGTCCAATGTTATTTATACTGTCGTAAGACGAACGATAGAGGAAAACAGGGAGGCGATATTAAATGCAACCAACCTAGTAGTAATCCAAGGTGTGGTGTTTGCTTGGCGAAAATGTCTGAAACTCACAAGGTAGAAATTCCCCTAATGACTGAGAAGCAGAGGAGTAGCTGGAGCCTCAGCAGCACTTTCCTTTGGGCGTCGGAGAGAGCGCGAGGCTGCCTCTCCTGTCTGCTTGGACACTCCTCCCAGGTGCCATCTGCCACAGCCGGAGCCCTGCGATTTGGGGGTTCACACTTGGGCCCACATCATGGGCCTCCTAGTCCCGCTCACCCTGTTCCTTTCCTCACAGAACAAAACTTTCACCTGCACTCTGTTCATGCCCTTCGAAGAGTTCGAGAAACTTCCCACCAGCAGAGACGTGCTGGATTTCTTCCACAAGTACTTCCCGGACGCCGTCCCTCTGATGGGAGAGTAAGTCTTGAGATGTGCCATCGTCCCTAGCCAGTCCGGCTCAGTGGATAGAGCATCGGCCTGCGGATGGAAGGGTCCCGGGTTTGATTCTGGTCAAGGGCACGGACCTTGGTTGCAGGCTCCCCGACCCCGACCAGGGTGCACGCAGGGGGCAACCAGTCGATGTGTCTCTCATCGATGTTTCTCTCTGCCTCTCCCTCTACCTTCCATGCTCTCTAAAAATCAATGGAAAAATATCCTCTGGTGAGGATTAACAACAACAACAACAACAAACAAACAGATACGCAATCATGACTTTTGCTCCATTGGTCTGAGTTATTCAGAAATCAAATGGAGATTATGCGCCTTATCTGTTTTGCTTACACGTGCCCAGTTGGGCAGTGACCTAGACATGAAGCCTGTATGAGCGAAAGCGGATGCTGTGCTGTGAGCAGTTGGTTGAACAACCCCAGGCCACAGCCAGTTTCTCTGGGAAAGACAAGTCTCTGGTGTCCCCGGGCCTGTCTATATCCTGTGCGGGCTCTCGGGCCCCTGGTGAACAAGCAGCTGAGCCACAGCAGATACCAGCAGCCCCAAGTTCACGTACCAGCTGTGCAAGCTTTCCTTCGTCTCAGCCCCACAGTAAAACGGCGATAGCAATGGTGCCTGCCCAGAGGTTTACTGTGAGGACTGAAGGGCACTGCGCCCATGGATCATTCATCACAGCCTGGCACATAGAGAGTGATGGCATTGGCTCCTCGGGCCCATGTCAGCATCACCCCGCCCTGTGGGCCTCTGTCCCCTGGCCTCACTCAGTGCCTGTGTCCCACTGTCCCTCCCTCCTGGAGTCCAGCTCACTTTCTCCCCTGATGATGTCTTCACGGAGGCACACAAGGCTGCGGAAAGAGCACGGTTTTAAGACTTCTCTGCCCCTGACTTCCCTGAGCCTCAGGGTTTTCATCTTTAAAATGAACATCAGGCCTGGCCGATGTGGCTCAGTGATTGAGCATTGACCTATGTATGAACCAGGAGGTCATGGTTTGATTCCTGGTCAGGGCACATGCCCAATAGGGGGCATGAGAGAGGCAGCTGATCAGTGATTCTTTCTCATCATTGATGTTTCTATCTCTCTCTCCCTCTCCCTTCCTCTCTGAAATCAGTAAGAATATATCTTTTTAAGAAATGAAATGTGGGGATCAGAAGAAACTTCAGTTTCTCCCTCTCCTGCCATTCTTGTGTATTTATCAATAAAGTCCTATGGCCCTAACTGGTTTGGCTCAGTGGATAGAGCGTCGGCCTGCGGACTGAAGGGTCCCAGGTTCGATTCCGGTCAAGGGCATGTACCTTGGTTGCAGGCACATTCCCAGTAGGGGGTGTGCAGGAGGCAGCTGATTAATGTTTCTCTCTCGTCGATGTTTCTAACTCTCTATCCCTCTCCCTTCCTCTCTGTAAAAAATCAATAAAATATATTTAAAAAATAAAAAATAAAGTCCTATGGTAACGAAGCCAATAGACGTGAAAGAATGGGGCCGTGGTTAGTGCCTAGTTTACCATCTTTCCATTCCGCTTCTCTTTCTCCGAAGGCAAGCCCTGACACGGGACTTCTTCCTGCTGCCCGCCCAGCCCATGATCTCGGTGAAGTGCTCCCCTTTTCACTTTAAGTCACGCTGTGTGCTGATGGGAGACGCAGCTCACGCCATTGTGCCCTTTTTTGGGCAAGGAATGAACGCAGTAAGTTCTCCGCACCCCCCCCCCCCAACACACACACCTTCCCCAGGTAATAATATCTCAAATAAAACCAAACATGCCCTAGTGGGTTTGGCTCAGGGGACAGAGCATCGGCCCTCAGACTGAAGGGTCCCGGGTTCGATTCTAGTCAAGAGCACATACCTTGGTTGCAGGCTCCAACCCTGGCCCTGATTGGGAGGCAATCAATCCAAGTGTCTCTCTCACTTCGATGTTTCTCCCTCTCCCTTCCACTCTCTCTAAATATCAATGAAAAAATATCCTTCGGTGAGGATTAACAACAATAGCAAAAAACACCCCAGAAAAAATAAAACGTAACTAACACTATCCTCACAGAGTCTCTGAGAACACAATCAGTGCAACCATCATACCAGCTGTTTAACTAGATTCATCAGTAACTATAGGCAAGTCTTGAATTACTTGATCCAGCAATTTAATGTAGAAAAAGAAGCATGAAGCCTAAGATAGTTATCGGTGCACTTAGAAAATGTGTTGGTAGCTTAACATTTGGAGACTTGACTTCCAGCAATACAAAACTTCGTTTTTAAAATTTTTTCTAGATATCATGCATAAGAATATAAATGTTAGGTGCAAAGAAAGAAAAGATCTCAAATGATCTTTTTTTCCTTCACTTTTTTCCCCCCAAAGGAATGGAAACCACAATTGATGGGGTTGAATAAAACTGTGAAACAGATTAGGTGTTGAATACTATTGCTTTCAGGGAAATGTTATCATTCTGGCTAGAAAAATATTTCAGAAAAGAAATAGTGTTCAAATATCATGTGTGTGTTTGATAACTAATAGCTTTCTAATCATAGTCTTTTATTGTTTTGGTTACTGGGATACATTCCAAGTATAAATAGGTGGTGAATCCAATCAATTGTATTTTCTACAAAGCAGTGGTAAACATTTTGTTTTATGAAAACCTAAGAACACACTAATTTTAGTGGATAAGTACCCAAGGCTCTGGCATCAAAAGGCGTGGGTTCAAATCCTCACTCTACAATTACACTTTGCACAGCTAACTTATCTTTATTTCCTTATCTGTAAAATTGGGGTTGTATTAGTAACTACCTTATAGAGATCCTTGGGAAGCAAATGAATTAAGAGTTTAAAAGTGTTATTATCTCAGCCATAGAGGGTTTCTGTCACATCGAAATGAACTCTATATAACTGGCAAGTACATTTATTTGTTTCAGATGTAATTTCTATATTTGATGTGAAAACTTATCTTTTAACTTTGACATATTTTAGATCGCCTCTAAAACTGTAGTTTGAATTTTTAGAAAGCGGGAAATATAGCTTTTGATTTTCTTCTTTCCCACTGTAGTTAGCATAGCACCTTCCTAATTTTGTGGAGTTCTTCATACTGGAAATTCGCTGTGCTCTTGGCTTATAGGAACTAAATTTATATGAGAGTTCTCTCCTGTCATTAAATGTGAATCTTAAAGACCTGGAGAGTCCCAATATAATTCTAATACTCATGGAAGGTTCATATAATGCTGGGCGTGGCTCTTCAGTGTTGTGTGCTGGTTGAGGGTGAACATCCTATGACCTGCCCATGGGAGGTCTGTTCAAAATTGCTAAGAAGCGTCGGTGATTTCCAGTTCATTTTTCCCCGTTTGTTTCTTATTTTAGGGGTTTGAAGACTGCCTGGTATTTGATGAGTTAATGGAGAAGTTCAATAATGACCTCAGTAAGTACGATTTCTCAGGTGGACGCGGACTAGCCCTGCTGATTGACGGTGGGCCTAGTTCTCATCCTGCATGACCACAGGCCCCCTCTGCCCAGTTCCTGTTCAGGGTGATAAACGTTTCTGCTCATAGATCCTGCCACTCTCGTTGACCGTATCAGACAAGGAGCAGCCAGAGGGAACCCTAGTTTGCTTTAAGATAAGATAAAGTTGCCAAAACCGGTTTGGCTCAGTGGATAGAGCGTTGGCCTGTGGACTGAAAGGTCCCGGGTTCGATTCCGGTCAAGGGCATGTGCCTGGGTTGCGGGCACATCCCCCGTGGGAGATGTGCAGGAGGCAGCTGGTCGATGTTTCTCTCCCATCGATGTTTCTAGCTATCTATCTCTCTCCCTTCCTCTCTGTAAAAAATCAATAAAATATATTAAAAAAAAAAAAGATAAGATAAAGTTCTGAGACCAAAATTTGGTGGCGTATGCTCCTTTCTCTCCCGTTCAACCTGGGTACCACCCTGCCTGTGCCCCCAACAGCGGCCCTCAGAAACACTGTCAGCAGCTCCGGTGTTTTCTCACTTTTTGCCCCATCAAAGGTTTCAATCTGATACTTCATTTGCCTTTTGATTAAAACTGATTCCACCAATATGCCAATTTTACAAGTATGAAAGTTTAAACATTTTATACGCAATTCTAAAATGAAATGTACATAATTTTTATCTGTAAAAGAAATCGCCAACAGTCGCCTCTCTGAAATCAATAAAAGTATATTAAAAAATAAAAGGTTAGAGAGAATAAAAGGTCAGAGAATAATTTTATCTACGCAGAGTCCAGCTCATTTTTATAGACTGTCTCAAAAACAATGTATTCTTTAATTTGGCTTCTAGGTATGTGTCTTCCTGAATTCTCAAGATTTAGAATTCCAGATGACCATGCGGTTTCAGACCTGTCCATGTACAATTACGTGGAGGTGAGTGAGAGGGTTTGGCTCTATTCTATGAGGTCATTCGCTGACACTCTAACAAACTTTTATTAAAAATTTGCGGAGAAAGAAAATAGGACCAGAGGTATGGGTGCGTGGGACAGAATAACAGATCTCAGTGGGGTGTGGGGTTGGACGGGACAGGAAGAGATTAAACAAAGACATATATGCATAACCCATGGACACAGACAATAGTATGAGGAAGGCCTGGGGTGGGGCAGGGGTTGGGTGGAAGGGGGCAAAAAGGGAAAATATGGGAGACATCTGTAATACTGCAAACAATTTAAAAAAAATAGGTAACAAAAGAATACACACACACACACAGCTTTCCTTACACATCGGTGGTTTGTGACTATGTAGACGGTGATAATCATCCCTGCATCTCATCTCCATCTACGCTTCAGTGACATTTAGGAGGCCAGGAAGACGATAAAATACCAAATGCCAGTTCAAACTCGGATCATTCACAAACTCAAACCTTAGACGTTTACTAGAGTTCGTAACATGCTATTTTAATGAACACAGAACTTTGATATGTGTTAATATGTCTGAAAAACCTAAGAAATCGCCTTTCCACTCTTCACCTTATAATCTCCACCCTAAGGGTAGCATTGAATATTGAATACCCTTGGGACTATTATGCCCTTCAAAAAAAAAAAAAAAGCAACACCAAAACAATTCATGGTCAGAAGATGAATCATCTGAAGGAAAACGTAATTCCATTTTGAGTCAATCACATGAAAAGCTCACAATCATTTGTTGTGGTTCTAGGTTAAAAATAATCCAATGAAAAAATTTACAAGACAAATGTAAAGAGAGTGTAGCTGTTTTTCCCTGGCTTCATAAGACAGAAAGTAGTCACGTGACCTCCACCTTGAGCAGAGTTTCATATGCAATGAGTCAAGTTCTACAACAATACCCAAAGGCTCAGGAATATCTTCCCTGTGTTGTGTCTTTCAAAACCAGACAGCTACAACCCAATATTTGTCCTGAATATAGAGTAGGTTTAATCTTATCACTTCCTGCCATCAACAATATTCCAAACCAACCAGGAAGCAACAGGAATTAGTCAAATCACTGGGCTCCCAGATTACCCAACAGATACAGTTGAACAAATTCCAGAGTTCCCATATTGACCCCCGAGCAAAACGGAGTTCTCCAACAGGTTGATGTCAACACTCGACCTCTTTTTTTTTAAATTTCTTTATTGATTAAGTTATTACATATGTGTCCTTATCCCAATGCTCGACCTATTCAAGGTCATGTCCTCCCTGCACTGTTGAGAATGACTAAAAGGGGTTGGGAAACAAGAATTGATTTGACTACTTTGTGTCTGGCTTTGTGATGAAGAAGATGAAGAGTAATAAGTTGTAGGAAAGGAGTAAGGGTGCATGGTTCAAGGTATTCTTTAGAACTCTTGTGTTATTGCAGATGCGAGCACATGTCAACTCAAGATGGTTCATCTTCCATAAGAACGTGGAGCGATTTCTTCATGCGATCATGCCATCAACCTTCATCCCCCTCTACACCATGGTAAGGTCTGAATGTAAGACTCTGCCTCACTTTAAGCTTCTGTTCAGCCATTAAAGAATTACACAGCCCTACTTGGTGTGGCTCAGTGGCTAGAGCATCAGCCTACGGACTGAAGGGTCCCAGATTCGATTCCGGTCAAGGGCACATGCCCAGGTTGCGGGCTCCATCCCCAGTGGGGGGTGTGCAGGAGACAGCCGATCAGTGAATCGCTCTCATCGTTGATGGTTCTCTCTCACGCCCCCTCTCCCTTCGTCTCTGAAATCAATAACAATCTATTTAAAAATAAAAATACACAGAATGCTCTTTAAACTTTCTTACAGGTCACATTTTCCAGAATAAGGTACCATGAGGCGATGCTGCGCTGGCGTTGGCAAAAAAAGGTCGGGACACACTCACGTTTTTGTTTGTTCTTAATCGGCTGTGTCCAGATGGGTAGTGTTTTGGTTCTGCATACTTCAGGCAAGCACAGAAATGCTGTGATACATGAAATGTTTGCCTTCCAAATAAAGAAAAAGTGCCCTAGGTACATAGAAGGCAATGTGTCGAAGGTACAAAGGTGGGGAGGGGGGGGAACGTGAGCTTTGGAAGGGAAGATATTAAAAAACAAAAAAAGAATTGGTGCTAACTCTACACTCGACTATTTTAGCGAGGTGACTTTTGACTTTTTTTAAGCAATTGACTTCTGCTTCATGTAATACTCTTGGGGATTTCATTTGTAAAACTGGACAAAAATTAATCGCCTATAAAACATAAGCTAAGTCCAATGCATGGCTATGCCACACTCATTTTGGGCAATGGACCTAGAGAAGCCAATAAATGGACATTCAGATTCCACATCTTCCACTTTGGAAATCTTACAACTTCATTCACCCAACAAATGGTTTTGTTTAGTGTAGAGACTGAGCTGGGCCTCGTAGCAAACAAGAACTAGCCCCTGCCCTTCACAGAGCTCAGAGACGAGTAGGGGAAATGTCGTGAAAGACATAAACTGCCCCTGGAGAGAATGGGGGCGGGCCCAGGCGCCTGGAAGCTGAAGACCCTCTCCCCCCACATGGCCCTAGTGGGAATGGCAAGGATTTCAGGGGAGCTGGAAGGTAGCAAATCTATGTGCAAGTGGCTAGAGGAGGAGCCGGAATGGTAAGCAGTCTTCAAAATCTTTTTTTGAGTGTGTAAGGTGTAATCCTATATAATAAAAGGGTAACATGCAAATTGACCCTAACGGCGGAAAGACCAGTCGCTATGACGTGCACTGACCACTAGGGGGCAGACGCTCAATGCAGGAGCTGCCCCCTGGTGGTCAGTGCAGCGGCGGGAGCCTGTCCCGCCTCCTCGGCAGCGCTAAGGCTGTCCCAGGCTGCCAGAGGGATGTCTCACTGCCAGCTTAGGCCCAATCCCCCCGGGGAGCAGGCCTAAGCTGGCAGGTGGACATCCCCTGAGGGACTGCAAGAGGGCACAGGCTGGGCTGAGGGACCCCCCTGAGTGCACTAATTTTCGTGCACCGGGCCTCTAGTTGACATATAACATTACATTGATTTCAAATGTACAACATGATTCAATGTTTGTATATACTGTAACGTGATCACCACGCTCTTCTCATGGAACTGTGCAGGGGCTGAGCTGTGAGTCTGAATCTCTCTCATCATTGATGTTTCCCTCTCCCCTCCTGTCTGAAATCTATAAAAATATATTTTTAAAAAAGATTTGACTCTCTGGACGAATAACATGAGAATTCTTGCTGTGTTTACAGGTGATAAACAAAGGGTTCTTTCTCTTCGGAACACTGATAGCCATCGGCAGTACCTACTTCCTTATACGCTCCATGGCCCCGAGGCCCCTGGACTACTTGAGAAGACCATGGGACTGGGTCACTAACCTCCAGAACACAGGACACGTTTCCCTGAAAACTCCCTGGAGCTACTAGAACAAATCTCCACTGTCATCAGCAGGTGACAGAAAGGTCCTGAAGTAGCAAATACACTTGATTTCTCTGTAACCAAATCTCAGGATCAAAGCCATGGCACCCATCATCATATTTAAGTCCCTCATGGAAGATGTTTGTCGGCTTAGAATTAAATCCAATGTGGAATTTCCGGGTGTTCACTGAGAATGTTTTTAAGGCCACCACTTCAAGTTGCCATGAGTAGCTTCCCACAACACTACGCTCACGTCATGTCCTTCTAAATATAAAAGTGAACTGATACCTCTTTCACTTCTTGAAGAGGAAGGCTGTGGGGTGTCTAGGAAGATACTGACCACACTCTTTCTTTAAAGGGCAGAATAGAGGATTTAGTCAACACCTGGGACTAAAGAGCACCATTTGCCTAACATGGTAAGGGCACTTTTCATCGCTTAGATGCAACTGACCACAGGGCTCAGACACACTTGAAACTAGAGCTGTAAATGAGGAATTTAGGGGCTTGCTAGTGGATTTGTGGCCTCATCACAATGAATTGGTCAGTATTACCTTCTGAAGACCAGCAAAGTCTACGGATGCCATGCTGAGTGAAGGATGGGAAGGGTTGTATTTATAAATTAAATTAAATATCTGCATATACAAGAGTATAGAAAGGAAACCAAGGGAGATGGTATTTGTATAAACACGAAGCCATATTTTATTCCATTTCAGACTTTTAGAAGCAATGTACTAACTTATTTTTGAACTGCATGCTGCGGCAGAACCAGAATAAACTGACTTTAAAAAAATTGTTTTAAGTTTATCCAAAACAAATTTCAATTTCTGTATTTCAGAGAGGAAGGGAGAGGGAGAGAGAGATAGAAACATCGGTGATGGGAGAGAATTATTGACTAGCTGCCTCCTGCACGCCTCCCACTGGGGATCGAGCCCGCAACCCGGGAGGCTAAGTTCTGACCCAGGACCTGCCTCTGAGCCCAGCCCTTAATCTCTAGGAGCCTTAGCCCCCTCATCTTTAATATAGTCCATTGACCTATGTCAGTGATGGCGAACCTTTTGAGCTCACTGTGTCAGCATTTTGAAAAACCCTAACTTAACTCTGGTGTCGTGTCACATATAGAAATTTTTGATATTTGCAACCATAGTAAAACAAAGACTTATATTTTTGATATTTATTTTCTATATTTAAATGCCATTTAACAAAGAAAAATCAACCAAAAAAATGAGTTCGCATGTCACCTCTGACACGCGTGTCATAGGTTCGCCATCACTGACCTATGTAGTCTCGTAGAACCTTTAATGTTGTTTAATCTTTTCTAATTTACTTAACGAAGTATAAAATGGATTATTTTACCTAGATCGTCAAATCGCTAAAAGACAGCCTGAGAGAATCATGATAAATTGGGACTATTTCTCCAAGATTCTGGAAACTCTTTTATTCAGATTATAACCCTCGGATTCTCAGAGCAGGCAGCAAACATGTGATGTGCAGAGTTCTGCACGGCTAAGCCCACAGCTGCTCTTGAATGAGAACTGATTTCCCAAAGGAACTCTTGCCGGAAACTGCTGTGACTTCCAATTCACAGCTAATGACTGTGAAGTGGGGTTTGATGAGGAATCTGTGATTGGTTTCATCAGGGGCTTGGCTGCCGGTAAGAGCACTTGGTGAAACCTAAGTGGTCCCAGTCCGTTAAAACCAGCGTATCTCACCCGGCCGGCGTGGCTCAGGGGTTGAGCGTCGACCTATGAACCAGGAGGTCACAGTTCAATTCCTGGTCGGGGCACAGGCCCGGGTTGCGGGCTCCATCCCCAGTGTGGGGCCTGTAGGAGGCAGCTGATCAGTGATTCTCTCTCATCACTGGTGTTTCTCTCTCTCTCCCCCTCTCCCTTACTCTCTGAAATCAATAAAAATATATTTAAAAACAAAAATAAATAAAACCAGCATATCTGCTCCTAGTTTGTTCCCAGTAGAGGTATTAAGGAATAAGGGCTTACATTTTAAAGTTCTCTGACAAAGTTCCTCAGATAAAATGCTCTTTAGAAGTTCCTCCTATTATTATTATACATGTGTTATTAAGGTGAGGGAAAATATTCCCGTACATCAAAAATATGCTCTTAAATAAACTGGTTATTTCTGACTATACTAAGCTCATTATGCTACAAAAATACAAATGCTTTAAATACTGATTTTAAAAAAGGTACCTAGCATACTGTTGAAACTTAGTATGTAAGTTTAAACTGGGAAATTTATTGCAGTTCAACAAACTCTAAGGGTTCCTTTTATTTCTAGCATTATTATGAAAATTAAGGAAAAATTTCCAAATAAAGTAGAGCATGTGCTTATAGTACTTAAAAATATATCTGAACTAACATATCTAAATTATTGATACTATCTAAAGTTATATTTAAGAAACTAGATGCTTATTAAAATCATGTATTCATATGGACAAAGAATAGAAAGTAACATGAATAATTAAAACATTTGATTTTTTTGGTTTTTGTTTTTTTAGAGTAGAGGGACCAGACACGTAGATACAAAAGATAATTTCTCTTGGAATTTTTTCTTCTCCCTTGAGTTTGTGGAATCTAAAAATCTTCTAATCACATAAACAATCATCACCGAAACACATACACTTGGCACCTTTTCTCACACGTAATTTTCCCGAGCATTACACAGATCACGACTCCAACCAGGATACCGACCAAGGGTCTATTGCAGCGGTTCTCAACCTGTGGGTCGCGACCCCTTTGGCGGTCGAACGACCCTTTCACAGGGGTCGCCTAAGACCATCCTGCATATCAGATATTTACATGACGATTCATCACAGTAGCAACATGACAGTGATGAAGTAGCCACGAAAATAATTTTAGGGTTGGGTCACAACATGAGGAACTGTATTTAAAGGGCCAGAAGGTTGAGAACCACTGGTTTATTGCCTATTGACCAGAACCTCTCAAGACCCAGATAACTCCTTTTAGACTAGGATTAGGAGGTCTGCATGCTCAGATTGGATCTCTGATGTTTGCAAATACCCTCAGCTTGCCTAAGCGCACGACAGTCTCTAGCGCCCCCTAGAGACTTTGAACTTGAACCCACAGAAAACCCAAGCTACCAGACAGGCCCGCTTCCCACAGTCACCACTTCCCCTTCCTTTGCCCTTGGTTTCTCACTCCAAACAGTCACTGATCACCTTGTGCCGCAAACTGCGGCTCGCCAGCCACATGCAGCTCTTTGGCCCCTTGAGTGTGGCTCTTCCTAAGCCTTAGGAGGACCCTAATTAAGTGAATAACAATGTACCTACCTATATAGTGTAAGTTAAAAAAATTTGGCTCTCAAAAGAAATTTCAATCGTTGTACTGTTGATATTTGGCTCTGTTGACTAATGAGTTTGCCGACTACTGGCCTAGTACTTGCACATACTGTTCAGCTGTGGATGAGAAAATAAGACTGGGTCTCTGCCCTGAGGAATCAACTCACTGTTTGGTGAGGGTGAAAAGCACACGGACTGCTTCCATGAGGGATTCATGCCACGGGGGAGGGGAGGAGGAAGGGCTACGGGAATACACAGGATGGGTGACCAGTTCAGACCCTCAGGAGATCCTGAGCTTAGCCTTCTGAGGTGAGTCGCAGGAAAGACAGGAGAATGTTCCGGGGAAAAGAAGAGCATTAAGGCAAAGGACACGTGGTGGCAAGATCTAGGAACAAGAAAGATTGCAGCTGGCTGAACCCTCAGGTGGCAAGAAAGTGGGCGTGTCAGGAAAGGATGCTGGCGAGGCGGACAAGGGATGGCCATGCGGGCCCTGGCAGTCACACTCAGGGACCTTGTCGTCAATCATGAAGGCAATGGGATGGCTACAGGAGCTTAAGCGAGGCAGTGACATCAGAGTATTTATATTTGAGGACATTACTCTGGTGGCAGCGTGAAGAAAATGGACCGGAGGAAAACAAGGATCAAGGAAGGAAAATGGCCGAAACCGGTTTGGCTCAGTGGATAGAGCATCGGCCTGCAGACTGAAAGGTCCCAGGTTCGATTCCGGTCAAGGGCATGTACCTGGGTTGTGGGCACATCCCCAGTGGAAGATGTGCAGGAGGCAGCTGATCGATGTTTCTCTCTCGTCGATGTTTCTGACTCTCTATCCCTCTCCCTTCCTCTCTGTAAAAAATCAATAAAATATATTTAAAAAAAAAAAAAGGAAGGAAAATGAAAGTCCTTAGGAATTGTGTCTGTGGCAGGAGGTGAGGGGGGAAAGGATACATGGAAACACCTTTGAGGTTGAAGAGATAAAGACTGATAATTGGATGAGGGGGGGGGGAATAAGGATGAAGAACAGATTACTCTCCAATGGCTGGGGAGCTGGGAATGACCAATCACAGCAGGGCCTGGAGGCAGCTGCGGAGACACATCTGTTGCCTCAGGCAGCACCGGACGCCACAGGGAACCAGGCGGTGCCTCTAAACCAGTGGTTCTCAACCTTCCTAATGCCGCGACCCTTTAATACAGTTCCTCATGTTGTGGTGACCCCCAATTTCATTGTTACAAATTGAACGTCATTAAAGCATAGTGATTAATGACAAAAACAATATGTAATTATATATGTGTTTTCCGATGGTCTTAGGCGACCCCTGTGAAAGGGTCGTTCGACCCTCAAAGGGGTCTCGACCCACAGGTTGAGAACCGCTGCTCTAGAGCCAGGCGATTCAGACACCATAGGGGCACCCACCACCCTGGTCATCCAGGCAGTGATGTCCACGACCACAGGCCCAGAGAATAGACTGACAGTTGACAGAGGTGAGGGAGGCTGGGGGGAGGGGGGTTAGGGGAGGGGGGTGAAAAAGGGGAAGAATAAGAAGTATAAATTGGTAGCTGCAGACCAGTGACAGAGATGTAGATTACAGCATGGGGAATCGAGTCAATGATATTGTGATAACTGTGTATGGGGCCAGGTGGGTACTTAAAAAAAGACATGATTATCTAACCACTATGCTGTACATCTGAAACGAGCACAGAATCATGTTGAGTGTGAACTGTAGCTGAACATTTATTTTTTAAAATTATTTGAAGAAAACGAAAGCTTGCGTTCTATCACCATCTGCTGGGAAGCAGCAGAAAAACATCTCATCAAAGGGCTGAATTATTAAAACCGAAACAGGACCTCAAGAGGAAGAGTGCTCACTACTTCAAAGGCGCCAGCAGAGGAACAGCCCATCAAGCACTAGGAACAACCAAGGCAACATGGTAACACGGAAAGGAAGCGACGATGCTCCAGAAACCAAGTTCAAAGTCACGGAAGGCTGTGATCTAAAGGATAGAGAGTTCAAAAGAGCAGTCAGGAAGAAAATCAATGAGAGACAAGAAAACACAAAAATGCAGTGCTGTCTGGTCTGCTTCCCACATCCCTGGGCTGGGTTTGGGCCAGACGGGGGATGGGGAGATGGTTCTGGAAGGTCTCAGAGGGATAAGGGGTTCTGGCTGTGCCCTCGCGGAGCAGCACTTACAGTTACTAAACAAGGAGAGGGTTCCAGTAGAAGCTATAACCCTGGTGTCTGGGAGGTTGAATCCAAGGGGAGCAGGAATGTAATACCTTTGTTCTTTTAAGTATGGGAGTGAGTAAAGGAACAAATAAAAGCCTCAAGCAGAAATGGGGTGCTCAAGGCCTTTAGTTATGACCTATAACAAAATTTGGCACAGGCCGGCCAGTGTGGCTCAATAGTTGAGCATCGACCTATGAACCAGGAGGTCATGGTTCAATTCCCTGGTCCGGGCATATGCCTGGATTGTGGGCTCAATCTCCAGTGTGGGGCGTGCAAGAGGCAGCTGATCCATGGTTCTCTCTCACCATTGATGTTTCTCTCTCTCTCCCTTCCCCTTTGAAACCAATAAAAATGTTTTTTAAAACTTTTGGCATAAACCCACTGCACGAATGTCCCCAAGAATGCCTAGTTCTTTAAAACTATAAAATCAATAAAAATGTATTTTTTTTAAAAAACACTGCAAAATGCTTAAAGATGCATTTCCTTCAGAGTGAACTACAAACAGATATTTACAACAAGAGTTGTAAAACTTGACATCAACATTTTTGGAGATTATCCTTTGAATTTAATATTTAAATATATATTTTTTTCATCTAAAGGAGAATTTTAGAACTTTCCAAGGAATCAATAATTTCTCACCAAATCAGTATACCATCATCTTTTATTTTTCATTGCACACTTCAGTATTTTACAGAAAATAAAGACCTCTTAATGTTAAATTCCAATTAATCATGTTTTCTTCTGATCTTCAATGTACATGAATATAACCAGTAAATATAACTTATGTGCTAACACTTTGAGTCTCATTTAAACATTTCCCATACAATTTTACATATATATTATTTATTGTCTATATAACAGTTTTTGATAGCAATAGCAATACACAAAATCTTATTTATACATTTCCCAATTACTGGGCTTTAAAAAAACTCAAATGAATGGAGTTACTAGAAATATCTTTATACAATTAATCTTTTACTTTTATTTTCCTGGATATATGCTTCTCAAAATGAGATCTATCAAAAGATATTGGTTATAGAGCTCTTATTATGTTTTTCTAAATAGTTCTTTTAAAATCTACTAATAGAATAATACTACTGGTATGTGGTACATGCAGTTGAAAACTTTTGCTACTAGCATGAACTAGTAGAAATTAGGTCAAAGTTGTTTCAATTTGCATTTTTCATACTAGGAAATCTGAATATCATCCTAAGAATTTATTTGTATTTTTTCATTTGTACCAATGCTTTCAATGAATTTGCCTGGTAGAGTAGAAAACCTTATGGATTTGCATCTCCCCTTTAAAAAATATTAAGCCCTTGATCCATATATATAATGCAAGTAGCTTTTTAAAAACCCATCTCGTCTTGCTCTTCTATTTAGTACATTTTTCATTTTTCTTTTGGCTGGATTTAAACTTTAGGATCCACCCAATAATATCACTTTGCTATATTCAAAAACCGTATACTACCAATTTATGACTTCTCTACGTTCAGTAAGGTATAAATGACTTCATCTTTCTTGTTTCATTTTCCACACATAGAACAGCAACAGAAGACTACTCGGAGCATCGTCTGGCTTAGTACATCTGTTTTCTCATGACATGGTGTTCAGATCAAAAGGTACACGATTAAAACGCATTCTTTTGTTAAAACTTAGCCAAATTCTGTCTCAATGAGGTCCACAGCTCTAAGCTATCTTTATTTTTACTCCCAATCTTCCCATTTCTCCAATTCGGTAATGAGCAGAGGCCAATTTCTGTCTCCTTTCCTTCACCAGCAACAATAGACTGACTTTCAGGCGCATTTTCCCTCCTCCTCCGGAATCCGCATTCTTCTACGTTAACGTTCATGGAAGGATTCTGAAATCACGAAAGCCTGGATCCCAATGCTGGCTCTTCCACCTACCAGACTCGGAGAAAAGGATGAATCAAGTCTTGATTTCTGCTTTGAAAATGCATTCAACAACATCTGCCTCTCAGGGTTGAGAAGCCGTAAAGAGAGAGCACGGTAAGTGGCCAGCACATAGTCAAGGCTCATTTCCGGAACAGAAATTCTCATGATGGCCTCTCTCCCTACGGGAAGCTCATTCTCACTGAGGAATGCAAAGGGGACTGGAAGGGAGAGGTTTACCTCTTCTTACGGCTCCACAGCTGGACTGCATCACTGGACTAACAGCTTCTCGACTCCTGGTGGGTCTGGGAAACTGTGTATTTCTATCCCTTAGATCAGGGGTCCTCAAACTACGGCCCGCAGGCCACATGCAAATACAAATATTGTATTTGTTCCCGTCTTGTTTTTTTACTTCAAAATAAGATATGTGCAGTGTGCATAGGAATTTGAGAAGGCTGGGCAAGGGAACCCCGGGTTCAAACGGACTCACTTGGTTCCTCCTTGGGGATTTGAAAAGTTCTTCTGAAGTATCTGGTGCGTAGAGCCATTTGTTTTTTATTTTTGCCTGAGTTACTGGTTGGAAACTCTTCTTTTCGGTGCCAGGGCTCTGCAGACATTTTCTGAAATATTTAATCAGAACGCATCTTCTCCCCTACACTTTCTCTGACGGAACCTCCCAAGAATGAGCTCTTCAACAAGTAACTGGACTTTCTGGCACTTGTTCTAATGTTAGAAGATTGTGGTGGTGATGTTGCCTTCTGGGTTACAAGGGTGGCTTAGGAGAATTCAACAGCGAGACATCTGTAAACATCAGACCTTCACAAATAAAGGATCATGCAAAGCTAGTCTTTTGATTAGACAAATGTATTTTATATTGGCACTTGCATTAGTTGCTATTGCTACCATAAATATGTTTATATTATATACAAAAGACCCACATAATTTACTGTGTGTGTGTTTTACTCAGAGGTGGTAGCAACTATCTTAGCTGCAAAGTAAAATACCCTTTAGACACTGTCATTGTAGACAAGAATAAAATCTGAAAGTCATTAGCAGATACAATATAACCCTCCTTTAAGCACAGTTGCTAATATGGAACCCTCACCTATACGCCCAATACTAAAATAAAGCTAACCCTGTTTAAGATTCTGGATCACAGAGTACATTCTGAAACAAACAAGAAATAGTCCAATAACTAATGAATCAGTTACTGACAGGTTAACAGACATCCAGTGACTAATGGCACTCATCACATAACCACTTCTAATTACTCAGGAAGCTGTCCTTTAAATGAGAATATTCGGACGCTAGGATGAAGGCCCGCAGTAGCATTTCCAGCCTCCTTTTCTTTTTTTCCTAATTTTGAAGATGCTGTCCTGGGCTGTCTAGGTTTTGGCTGCCTTCGGAGGCTTCTAGTTTGGCCACGATGAGAGTATTGGTCCCAGGAGCCTCTGGTTGCTTGTCATCCCCATCGAAGATAATGTCTTCTGGATTGGGCGGTGGGGGGCAGAAGTCTTCTCCTGGGAAGATCTGCTGGAACAGGGTTTCGGCGAGCTTGACTGCGTGCTCGTTTCCTAGTCCACAGTCAGGCCCAGAGCAGACATACACGTTGGAAGGTAAGCCATGGTAAGAGCTTCTGCTGACCCCTGAGGAATCCCTCATGTTAAAATAAAGAGCCCACAAGAGCCGTGGCTTCGGAGGGTCTCCCTCGTCTATTTCTGTCTCCGCGTAGGGGGTGAATAACTTCTGCACCACTGGTTCTAAGTCTTCTCTTGCTGTGCTAGCCGATGAGCAGGTCAGATGCACCAGGTAGGTGTCTTTCATGCACGTCATGGTTGAAGAACATAACTCAGCGACCCGAACGGCACGCGCGCCTGGTTCCGCCGGAGGGACCGTCAACATGGAGATCTGCTGGTCGGAATCTGCCTTGAGCACGGACTGGTCTGTGATGAGCACGGCCCTGGAGATCTGCCCATACTGCACGCCTGCGCAGGTGTCCTCGGAAAGGTAGCTGTCCTCCACTATGAAAAACTTCGCACTGATTCTCTGGCCAAAATGATCTATCACTGCTTCACACCTTCCAGATTCCTTGTCAACCACGAGGCACTGCACTCTGTGGCGAAGACAATAGATTCCACCAAAAACAGCACACATCCTGCAGAAACACTGGGGAATTTCCCCTTGGCCGTACAAGGGGAATAAGAAGGGAGTGTTGCCGTACCGGCCAAGACACTGAAGGAAGTGCTTTGTTGCTTTAAGGCCGTCGACGGTCAAGCAGGATGGCTCTGTCATTGCGATCGAGTGTAGTATAAAGTGCTGGAGGTTGGGGGTTAACTTTTGAGTCTTTAAGTACTCGGAAAAGGGGCGCTGTGTGAAGTCCTGGTATTCCCCAGGATGCTGCTCATAGTCTAAGCAAAATGTCAGAAACTTCATCAGCATCCTCTTTTCTACCATGGTGAGCTCTTTGCTGTTAAAGACATCTGCTCGGGAACAAGGCACCTGTTCTACTTTCCCCTCTCGAAATGCGAGGATCCTGGTGACGTTTTTAAATTCAGCGTAGCGACTAACATTGGATTTGATCAAGAGATCGATCAGCGAGCCTTGAGAATACAGCAGCTTTGAGACCAAGTCGATATTAAACCTCCTGCCTTCTTTAACTATCTGAGAGTAAGTAATCCGATTTCTCTTTGGTTGACCCGAGTTGTCTTCTACGACAGGTTTATTTTCATCCTTAGCTCCATCTGAAACTGTGTGTATACAAGTTTTCTCTCCACAATCCGTTTCTTTCACCTGAGTTTCCTCTCTATCGGTTACTTCTGGTAAAATTTCTCCATCGTGTTGTGGAGTGTCTTTGGCAGGCATTTCGGGGCTAGTGCTGTCTGAGTGTGTTTCTTCGGACAGGCATGCAGAATCCAGAGGTTTGGTGAGGGTACTAGATGCTACCAAGGAAGGATTTTTCTGCAAAACATCAATCTCTTCAGCACTGTCACCGGTGTCCTTGCTGGCGTAACAGAACACTTCTACGTGTTGAATGCTGTCATCCTTCCGACGCAGAGCGATGGCTTCTTCTGTGTCCTGGATCAGGTTTTGCCAGGCAACAGTGCTTTTGTCCCCAGCCTCACTGTCTTGCTCACACTCCTTCAACCAGGAGAGCAATCCCGAAAAGGTGAAACTAGCCCAGTTTCCTCCATAGTAACTTCTCGAATCAACATGTAGCACTCTCTGCCCACTTCTTGAACATGCAGCCGCAAGGATGGATTCAGGCAAACCTGTCCCTATGATAATTACATCAAACTCTGTAGGGAGACTGTCCGCCATCCTGGGAGATAAAGTGGTGACAAGTGCCAGTGAAGGAAAGGAGTATGAATCCAGGCGAGGGCTCAGATGAGGTGTGAATGGGCTGTGATAAAATCTCTCCTTGTGAAGTCCCAGGTCATCCCAGAAGAATCCAGGTCGCAGGTCCTAGATGTCTGTTACCCTTTTTAATTTTTTTTCTAGGTCAGTAGCATAAAAACATGATAAAGTACATCTAATCGCATCTGAGAGTACTAACACGGACGTGTGGCTTTCATTTCTGCATTTCATCTTAGCAGTACGCGTCAAAGTGCATCACACAGGCATTTGTGACTGGAACTCTTCTGTGCAAGAAAATTCAAGAAATACAAGTGTAAACAATATTAAGAGGAAAGTAATTTCATGGAACAGTAATTACAATCCAGTGGAGCCTGACTTGTTATTAGGACACAAGCCTCTACTAAAGCAAGTCATTATATGCTTTCTCACATATTTTCTAATTTATTGGAAATGAACAATAGATATATATTCCCCCAAATCAGAAAATTCAATAAAGAAGAATGGGTAGCCGAAACCAGTTTGGCTCAGTGGATAGAGCGTCGGCCTGCGGACTGAAGGGTCCCAGGTTCGATTCTGGTCAAGGGCATGTACCTCGGTTGCGGGCACATCCCCAGTGGGAGATGTGTAGGAGGCAGCTGATTGATGTTTCTCTCTCATTGATGTTTCTATCTCTCTATCCTTCTCCCTTCCTTTCTGTAAAAAAAAAAAAGTCAATAAAATATATATTAAAAAAAAAAAGAATGGGTATAATAATGTCCCACAAAATAACGAATGAACAGAATACAATTCTATAGCTCCTGTTTTTAAGACAACTAGTATTTGAATGAAACTATACACGACTGTGAGCTTAGACTGTAAGAAATGTGTGCTCCACTGTGTTTATGGAAACAGACCGGATAAGATGAGCACATTGCCACAAGGAATATTCCCAGGCCCAATACAGTGTGTGGGTGATTCTAGGACAGCTGGACAGAGACTTCCATACCCACCCACCCTCAAAGTCTCATGGTGGAAACATGAGACTATTTCAACCAAATCAACCAGAATGTTATAAAAGCATTGATTCAGTAAAACACCTGGCATTCTAAAATATTTAAATGCAAAAAGAATAAGTCTACTGAAGGGAAAATGTATTTATAACAAATCTTTATATGAATGTACATATGCATGTATGTTTTTTTAGGAATAAGTTAAGAAGGAAAATTCCTGGGCGCATATGTTAAAATATATTAACATAAATAACACTTCTAACATTGGAATAGGTGCATTTTCAAGGGCCAAGATTCAATGGTGAAAGGACAGCTTTTTCAATAAATGGTGCTGGGAAAACTGGATATCCACATGCATATATATAAAAATTAATTCAAAGTAGATCAAACCTATGCTACAAACAGCGGATCTGTCTTTATCAAAGTATACCAATATTTTCCTGGAGTAGTAACCTCTATAAAATTTCTAAGACAAAGAATTTATACATTTTTAATTGAGCTAAGCAATGTGAAGTCTCCCGCCAAAACCCCCCACAAAACTCCTCATATTGTATTCTTACTAACAGAGCTAGAGAGAGCCTGTATTTTCCCTCATCTTTGCCAGAACAATTTTCCCCAGCCTGCGTTACATCTACAGCTGGGCGTGAATACTGTTTCAGCCAAAGGCATGAAGGGAGAACCGTGATGGATGTGTCCGTGGTCAGTGGTGGACAGGGAAGGAGAAACAGGACTCGCAGCTGCCAGCGAGGGAGAACATGCAGACCAGAGGGGTGTCCTAAGGGCACTCCCTGGACCTGGCTGTGCACAGCACCCCGGCCCCGCCCCCACACCACTCACCTGGATCTGATTCACGGGAGCAGCTGCCGGCTTCCCCCAAGTGGACGACCTGCTGTTGCCCATCCTACGAGGAATTGTTAAAGGGGCCGGTTCATCAGACAGTAAAGGTAATGCTGCAGGTGCGATTCACTCCAACAACAGCCCTCCAAGTGCCCTCGAGTCACGCCCCGGGCGTGGAGCGCCCAAAGGCGAAATGCCCCAGGGATCCATGGAGCTGGGAAAACACAGCGCCAGGGGCCTCGGGGACCAGCCAGCCACCTAGTTACCGCGGTGACCAGCACCTTCTAGCTCCGCACAGAAAGCTCCAGGGCTCCCTGTCTTGCAAAACCGGTAAAAGCTACCGGAGGAAGCGGGTGGGAAGGGATCCCAGGCGGATGGAGGATGCACAGCGGCCGCCCAGATGTGCCAGCGGGCGGGACGGCCAGGACCGCGGGGCGGGCCTCCACGCCAGCCCGGTAGCCAGTGGTTATGGGAAGCGGCGCAGGGCAAGCACTGTCCCCGGTGCAGCCCCGATCTCCGAGCCGCGGCCACTGAGCAGGAAGCGCCCCTCCCTCCCCGCAGCGCTAGCAAACAGACAAGCAGACGCACCAGCCAGTAACTCGGCCTGAGGGCGCTCCGTGCAGTGTCTGGGACAGACGTAGAAGGACAGCTACCCCCTGTCTGTCTGAAAATGTCTGTCTGAAATCCCAACGCAACCACTGGGGGAGGGAGTGTCCAAGCGGACGCGACTGCAGTGTTTTCCACCTGAGTTCCAGGACCCAATGGCGCTCAGGGCTCCATCCTCTCCGCACCCTTTGGGGGCCCGGCTGGATGGGTATGGGGCCCGGGTGGCGCCGCAGGGAAGAGGCGCCAGGTCTCCGCGCCTCGCTGAGCCCGCCCTGCCGGCCGCGCCCCGTACCTCGAGGCCTCCCCGCCGAGCCGCTCTCGCTCCGGGAGAGCCGGGTCCCCGCAAGGACCGCGCGGTGCCAGATCACGGTCCGAACCGAGGGGACACAGGAAAACGCGACCCGGGAGAGCCCGCCTCCGCCAGCAGGCCCCGCTTCCGCACGCCCGGCCACGCCCCCGCGCGCACGACACCGCCCAAGCACGTACCGCGACGCCCCCGCCAGCAGGCCCCGCCCCGCACGCTCGACGACGTTCCCCGCTCAAGGCCCCGCCCCCGCACGCTCAGTCACGCCTCCCGCTCAAGGCCCCGCCTCCGCCTGCAGGCCCCGCCTCCGAGCCCCGGGCCCCGCCCCAACACCCCTGTTCCACCTGTAGTGGACCCAGAAAAACAAACAAACTCTAAATGCGGAGATGCTACAAACAAACATTAATCCTTTAAAATAAGCGGGACATTACAAATGACCTGATACCATTTTATGAGGCTTCCCTCCCCCCTCATTTTCCGAGATTTTGCAAAAACTATACAATTATTTTGGAAATGTTAAGGCAGAACCCCTGAATGAATTTGAGGATCTTGACAAGTGGGAAGCATCATTCAAAAAGCACAATAAAGCCACATCGAAATGATCAAATAAAATCAGGGTCAACCACGGAGGGATTGTACCTAAGGATACTGTATCCACAAGTACAAATTTCTCGAGAAGTGATATTCTTACAGAATGTACGCAAAAATGAAAAATTCTACTCTTGTATACCACAGGTTTGGACTGACGTAAGGCAATAATATCCTCTCTAGAGAATGTCATATAGCCTCAATGTAAACATGCCCAAGGAACAATTAGGAAAAAAAAAAATAAGCCATGAATTAGTTGCATTTAATGTCTGGAAGTGAGGCAGAGGGTGAAATCAAGCTACATCGGAATAAACCCACCAAACCTTTGAACATTAGGTTCTCTATTTAAAGACGATAGTCAACAGTTGCATGGAGAAAGGGAGATCATTTTAACAATTTTAATCCTTCTGAGGAACGCTTGACTTTAAAAATATTGCTTATCCGGTGTCTTTTATGATATACAATCGTTAGATCACAATAAAACCCAGGTACACTTACACCAAAGACAACTTTTGTCCTCAACAGATTTCCGAGCTTCCCAATTAGATAACTGGAAGTTTAAGTGTAAACTGATTCGTGATAAAATGAGAAAACAAATGGCCTATTTTAAAAAAATTATTAGTGGGCCTCAGTAGGCAGTTTACCTTGTAGATCTTACCATTACACATAAGAGGACTGAGAAAAAAAGTTAACACTTTTCTTAAACTGGTCATTCTTTCCAGCCTATGGTTCTGAAAAGAAAAAAAAAGGTTCACACCCATTGTTTTCCTTACATTCTATACTTTCATCAAGCTGGAAGGTGTTGCGGACTGAATGTGTCTCCCCAACATTTACTGTTGAAACCCTCACCCCCAGTGCGATGGTGTTTGAGGAGAAGGGCTCTGGGAGGTAACTGGGCCTTAGCCCTGGTGATGGGTGGCTGAGAGCTTGTGTTCTCTCTGCAGCGAAGACACAGCAAGGCCTTGGCAAGAACCCAATCAGCCGGCACCTCGATCTCGGACTTCCCAGCCGCCAGAAGAGCGGGAAATAAGCGTCTGTTGTCTCCCCCGTCCCGTGGACGGTAACGTCTAGCAGCCGTGCGAAGGCATGGGGAGGGAGAAGAAACGGAAGTCGCCCATACAATGGGAGCGGGGACCTGGGCAAACCCGGGCCGGGTCCACAACCGGGCCCTGCGACAGCCCCACGATCACCTGCAGTTCCACTCACCCGCGGTCACCTCGCATCCGAAATATTCAATGGAAAAACCGCAGGAAGAACCCAGGCACCGGGCCACCTGCGCGCTGGTCTGAGCGTGCAATGAAAGCTCATGTGGTGAACTCTCGCGTGATGAAGTCTCACGTGGTGAAGTCTTGCGTGATGAAGTCTCGCATGGTGAAGTCTCGTTGTGAAGTCTCGCGAGGTCCTCCCCTACGCACGCTCCTGCCTGTGCGTCACGTCGTGGTCGCCCCGTGGGCAGGTGGACTGTGGCGGAGGCTCGGTGCTGCGGCTGGTCACCCTTGTTCCAGTCACCGGCGGCCCCACAGGCGGGAGCAGTGATGCTGGGAATGGGGGTGCTCCCGAGAAGAGCTGGTGATGCTGGGAATTGGGGTGCACCCGAGAGAAGCCGGGAAGTGCCGCTCGTGTGTGACGAGGTGAGTGAGGGGGGTGAGGCCCTGAGCCTGAGAGCGGGCCCAGCCCCCCCCCCCCTCCGTGTTGTTCATACGGGGCTTTGTCATAGTTGTTCTGTAAGGTATCCTTCCTCCCTCCCTGTGCCGATTCCTAAGCGAGCACAGTGCGCATGTGCAGGAGGAAGCCTGGTGCCTCAGGGGTGCACCAGCAGGAAGCTCTGCACACCCGTCCTTTTGGGTTTTTATGGGGGATTCACCCCACAGGGTAAGTCATCCCTGAAGTCCCTCGTCCAGCCCTTCCCGCTCCCTGAAGGTGGGGATGGGGCGCAAAGATCCAGCCCTCTCCTACTTGATGGTTCCCCTGGCCGCCCGCCCCATCCTTCCTGGCTTTGCAGAAGTCCCCTCCTCCACACCGTGCAAATGCACAGGGACGGGCCCACGGGAGAGCATCAGAGTTTAATACCCGCGCGCGGGGATTCACGTAGGCATGAACCCCTTCTCCCCCCCAACAGGCACCGTTAGTTGTGTGTGTCGGACATTTGCACAGAGAAGAATGGGGCCTTAGATTTCAGAAGCCAGGATGGGGGTTTCCACGAGTTGAGGCAGAGCTGCACACACGTGGCGGGAAAATCCCCGCTTGGCGACTGGGAAACGGTGGGACCTGGGGCATTGGGCTGACAGGCACCCGCGAAGCCCTGTTCTTCGTCCACACTTACTGCAGATTCGGCGAAGGTGGCATCCTCAGGTCTCCCTGAATCTCTTGGGCAGGAAAGGGGGGAAGAGTCAAAAGTTCTGAGCCTTTTGTTTCCTAATAAGCAGCTGAAAATCAATACCCCAAAGGCAGCTCCAGGGAGGCCAGACTTTGGTTCCCTTCCGTTGCATTCCAGTGTTAGAACGGATCACGTGAGAATGAAACAGTCCCAGTTCCTGCTTCATCGGGGTCCCCCAGCGGCAATTTCATAAACCCGCGTAGGGAGCCCACACCGCCGCCAGCTGTCTCCCGCCAGACTGTCCCAAGGTCCCCTGGTCCACGGTGACCCCCGGGCAGAAGCAACTCACTTCTCTGACACTCCCTTTTCCTCTCTCTGGGTAGCTTCTCTCGCCCCAGCATCTGGTCATCGGCCCCTAGGACTGTGGGATCGTCTAGGAACATGCTTCCTAGGCACCAAGAGTAACTCCAGTACGTTTCTGAATTGTTTCACACGAGGCTGACCTTTTCTTCCTCCTCATTTCTGTTGAGGAGCTGCACAAAATGAAAGGCTTTGATGGGCAGAAGGGCTGAGAAAGGAAGCTTACAGCGGAGAGTTGGGGGAGCAGGGTCTCCAGGGGGGATCTCCCCATGTGCTGAGAGGAGATTCCAGACTGACCGCTACCTTTGCATTCCTGGGAGGGGCCGAAGCTGCAGTTAGTTTAGGTCTTAGGTGTTAGGTTTCGGTTTGGTGATGTGGGCTAGCACATGTGACTCCACTGTGGGCCTGCTTTCTCTTTTTCACACTGCCCATAGGTACGGTTCTGTTCTTTGGAACCACTCAGTCCTCAAATGCGTGATTTTGTTTTTCTGGAATAAGTTTCGTTCCATCCTACCAATGTCATATACTTCTCTGACTCCAGGAGTACAAAGTGGGAGGGCCTGTTGTCGCAATACAGGACAAGGACACGTCCCTGCCACGTTCACAGCCGTATCAGTGAGAGCCTTACATTTTTAAAGAGAAATTACACATCAGTCCTCATCACTAAAACCTGTAAAAGGTAAGGTGTTAACTCCTTCAGAACAGTATACATAATAAAGAACACCAAGTCTGTAGAATTCACACATACATTCCCAATAAAACACATCTTTTCCTTTCCTTTTGACACAGCTCCCTTCCTCCAGTTCTAAACACCATCTCTTTTGCTCAAAAAACGGCAAGCAGGAAGATGAGGTTTCCAGAGCGATTTATTGTTCATCGTTTTAACAACGTTTTCATGAGGACTGGTCACATAGTGAGACATCCTCAAACACTGTCGCCAACATGCTTGCTGCCTTTTTTCAAGTAACACTGATGAACCAGTGGAAGCAGTTTCCCTTCCTGGTGGAGCCTGTGGGTGTCGGTGGCACCTCCAATAAAAGTCCCGTTGACAAATATCCTTGGCACCTGTCGGATACACAGAAGATCAGGTGTCACCGAGTGTCAGCAGCAGAACAGCACTGCGCCTAATAAGGATGGATGCTCACGTCTGGGTACCGTTATGGGCCGGGCACAACACTACGGAAGCTCTTTAGTGATCAGAAATGACAGAGCTGGGATTTAAATTTAGGGCCATCGGACTCTCCAAGCCCTTCCTCCTAATCACCGCGCCACATAAAAGTCTCTAATTATTACTAATGTTCAACTTTCTTACAATTGTTGACTAAAGAGGAAGAGTACACAGATTTCTTCCATGCACATAAGAAGGAAAGTGGCAACATTGGGTATTTTTCTGACAATGCATATTATGGAAAATCCACACATTTAAAGAATCTGCCCAGCTGGTATTGCTCAGTGGTTGAGTGTTGACCAATGAACCAGGTCATGGTTCGATTCCCAGTCAGGGCATATGTCCGGGTTGTAGGCTCAATCCCCACTGTAGGGTGTGCAGGAAGCAGCCCATCAATGATTCTCTCTCATCATTGATGTTTCTCTCTCTGTCTCTCTGAAATAAAGTTAAAAAAAAAAAAAGACTCTAAGCACATGGAGCACTAAAGCACTCCTACTCAAACAGTGTGTACTGTCCAAACACACACACACACACACACACACACACATGCACACACACGCACGCACAATCTTGAAGGATAAAAATAAAACAAATTAACTCCCCTCTTTCCTAGTCTATGAATCTGGTTCCTGGATCTGCCATTTCTTTATCAATGTAAGATTTTCAGAGAATGCCCGGGTCCTCTTTCCTAACACGCGGGTGACCCCCCCCCCCCAGGTCAGCACCCACTTTGGGGGGGAAGCACCACAGAGCACGGACTCACAGTTCTCTCGCCAGTCATCTTGGCAAGCGCGTCCTGAAACTGGCTTCCATATTCGAGCAGGTCCAGCTCCACCGCTTTGTAGCTTATGTTCATGTCGTGGAAAAGCTTCTTTGCCATGTTACAGTAGGAACAGGATGTCTTTGAGTAAATCACCACACAGTTATCAGAAATGGTTTCCTGGAGTCAAGCAAACACATCACTTTAATGCCAGACGTAGAAATCCTGATACCGTGGAAGGGTATGGATGTCGGGGTCTCGCAACTGACTCAGGGCTGGAGCTAAGTCTCCATCGCCTCCCTTCTCATCGGTGCTTGAGGGTGATAGTATTCATGTCCAGGGACACTATTAGGAACAAAGGGTGCAACAGATGGGGAATGGTTGGGATGGGAGTCCCTAACAGCGGGACGCCAGGTTCATAAGACAGCACACCACCCTGGGGGGGGGGGAAACAACGGTCAACAACGGGACCCCTTAATCAGCTCCGGGAAGCCCTCCCCCTCCAATCCTGAGAGAAGGCCTTGGCGCGCCCTCTTGCAGCCTTCATTGGAAATTTCCTTATTTCTTACCCCCCCCCCTTCTGGAAATCAATTACGGGGATTAAAAAAAAACACACCCCCAA